AATTGTGTTTCAAAAAATTTGGTAAGAATGTGAAATCTTAAATACTTCCCTTATTTTAGTATTGTTTTTTAGACCTTTAATAGCATATAAAGGGTAACTTAGGCTAGAAATATACTAACAAACCCACTGAAGTTTACTTAAATAATTCAAGAAAACACAAATACCACACTCCCTATTTGCATGATTCTTTTACTCTTTACAAGCAAAATTGGTTTTTGAACCCAATAAACCCAACCAACAACTTCTACTTTCTTATACAGGTCAGTATATTTTTAGCACGAATGAACATGCAACTTAAAACCTAACTCTATGAATTCACGTTTATGTTTATTTTCCATTGACTACTTACAAATGACGTCCTCTTTTTTATAAGTAGACATACTACCATAAACCATATTTGCAAATACTATGTGTGAGAGGTAAACAGTATGGTTAAAAGGCATTTTTTCCAGACTTTGTAATAAAGCTTGAATTTATTTTTCCCATTTTGCTTATTTTCTTCCTTAAAAGTTTCACAGATGAAATCTAATGACCAATGTCATCATTTTTTAACTAAAAAGAAAAAAATGTAGGTGTTTGCTCAACAATATAAAACCATTACGTTGTAAAGATGCCTAGATATGACACGAATGGTTACTAAGTAACAGCAAATTATAAAATCATAAACTATGACTTTTGATATTAATGCACATAGGCAGGACATGAAAATCAAGGAAATGATCATTCCCTTTACAAAAGATTCCTGTGAAGTAAATGCTGTTAATGGATTTTAAAAGAATTAGAATTTTTATTCATCTACGTGATAGGTGATCCAGGCAACGAACGCGAAATCACTGTTCTGTGCCCAGCCCGGGGGTCCCAAGCCCAGCAAGGCACGAGCCTGTTTGCTGAAAGGAGGGAAGGCGATGGTGAGTGCCGTCTCCTCCCCACCGTTGTGTCCTGTGCCACGAACCTCGGTGCCAGGCACAGGAGGTGGCCCACACACAGCTGTGGAGCGCGGGAATGTGGGGTGACAACAGAGCACAACAGAGCGCGCCGAGGGAGCTGGGAGAGGGAGCGACTGAACCAGACTGGAGGGAGAAGGAAGGCGAACCAGCAAAGGCTTCCAAGAGGCCGTAACACAAATGTTTTCAGGAATGCACACGCTACACGCAAGAAGACACATTCATATAGAAAAACGGACCCAAAACCAGACCCTTCAGAGTTAGGTGGTGACTAGAGCAGTAAAGAGGAGGAAGGAGAGAAAAATAGCTACTTATTATAAGTAATTAAACTTCGTAAAATTATGACTTCAGAGATCAATACTTTGATTGGGTTAATCTTCTGAAAGTTCATTTTACCTTTGGGATTTTTGCTCCTAGGTCTTGATACTGCTTTGGGTTTTTCAAGAAATTCACAAATTCCATGATCTCCAGCTTGGCCTCCTCACAGCCAGCCACATCTTTGAACTTCACATCTATCTCATCCTTTAAGACCTTGGCAGTGGTTTCTCCGACGCTGAAGAGTCCACCCATCCCTCGGCCGGATCGCCCAATGCCAGCAGGCCCTCTCCTCACGGTGTACAGCAGAAAGGCGATGATGAGCACTGTGGGCAACATGCTCAGCAGAAATGACCTGGAGGGGCGACACACAACGTTCATGATTTAACACTGTTAACC